TCCCAAGACTAGTTTCGCCCTGCGTGGCGTTGAACTTGTGTCATTCCCTTGTATAGGCAAGTTGGCCGGCTTCTTTCTCTCTTAACATTGCGTATGCATTGTTGAAGTTTGTACATGGTTTATCCTTTACTATTTTGCTTAATAGAAGCATACTGCATTGATAGTTGTTATCGTTGGGTTTGATGTACGTGTGACTGCTGGATACAGAGGCAGAGAAGTCAAGAAAGAGGAAACAGCAACATTCGGAAGTACTCCGCACTCGCTTGAGCCAATAGACATTCTAGGCATGTGGTATGTGAAACGAGCTAACAAAATCAAAGGGATGCCGGAATGTCTATCGTAAATTTATGTTCTGCTAGGCCCACTCTGACTACCCAATGAGGAGGCTCGAAATGTAAGCTCCACAGCTCGCACTCGGTCGAGTCGGGAATTTGCCGTCTGTCCTCGGTACAAAAATACTGAAAGTTGCTTGTATAGTACGGCTCCGAATTCGTGCAACGTGCAGACATTTGCGAAGGATTGATACTCACTCGCTAATCGGCATTGAGCAAGGTTCTAGTACTGAATATCTTGCAGCCAAGATAGAATGCTGGTTTTATAACGAGCCTCTTTCTGACCGCCAACAAAAAGCATGTACTGTAAAAAATGGCTACTTAGGTAGTATGCATTTCATCATTGATTTTGACTGCCTTCATAAATTCAAAGATATTTCATGGAAAACGTGCACGAAAGATTCTGTCTTGAACGACTTCGTTAAATTTTATACTTAAAGAAATGATATTTTTCGGAATTAAAAAAAGTTTCTAAATTGTCGAATACTGTTGAAACCTACCAACTGCTACACCTCAATTCAAGGTTTACGAACTGCACGCTGTGTGCATCCAGTTTAAGGAAAAGTACGCGTTTGACTACAGTTTGAGGAAGAAGTTACATAGTGCTCACAAAATATTGCAACATATGTGGAACATGCTTTATAGGGTATAGGCAGCATTAATGAATTGACGGGTACGATTTATTATGAATGAACGACTCACAAGTGTAAAAAAGCTCATAATTAGACATTTTTCCAAAACCGAAAGATACCCTTTCTTTAAGTATAAAATTTAAGAGAGACGTAATTTCTACTAAACGAGTACAAGATGTTTTCGTGCATGTTTTCCATAAAATATGTTTTAATTTATAAAGACAGACAAATCAATGATAAAAATGCACACTATTTAAGTAACCATTTTTTACAGTACGTACTTTTTGTCAGCGGTCAGAGGAAAGCTCGTTAAAAGCCGGTATCCTATCGTGACTGAAATGACTTCAGAATTGGCTACAAGGTAGTCAGTATTACAATCTTACTCATTGCCGATTACCGAGTGAGTACCAATCTTTGCAAATGTCGGTACGCTGCACGAATTTGGAGCCGTATTGTACGTTCAGAACGGTGTGCGAGTGTTCGTTTTTATCTTGAACAGTATAACTAGGTAGCTAGCAAGCGATCGAACATTGACGGACAGTGAAAAATGTAGGAGGACTACTGGAAACGAAGAGGGTGCCAGGAATGCATTTATAATCCGCCGTACACTGGGAAGGTGTAGTAGGTATGGCGTGGGCAAGTCACTACTCGTAGCGAACTTAACACAACCAAACACTTCCTAAGATCCTTCGGTAACAGTTCAAGTTACGTAACCAAACAGAACGCGAAAACACCACCCTTCTGTAATACGGGATAGATTATAATGAAAGTAAAATGGGTGGGGCATATCAGGAGAGAGGAAAAATATTTTAAAAATTAGGGCGTGTAAAAGTAGAAAATAATAGGAATAATTAATTTAATCACCAAATAACCGAATATTTGCGCACGATAGTTAAAATAGCCCATTAGTGTCCAAATGGACACAATCGTCGACTCTATATCAAAGATGATAATATAGAGATTATATAGAGATGATATAGAGTCAAGGATTTTAACCAAGTGGGCACTATTGGACCATTTTACTTAGCGCGCGCAAATGTTCGGTTATTTAAATAAGCTGTTTGGAGGGAGTGGGGATCGGGGCCAAAAATCTGATCAGCGTTAGGGGAGACTGATTGCCGAGCGAGGTGATACGCTGCGAGCTGTTGAATTAACGACTTTTGGCTATGGTAACTGCGGTGCCTTTAGGAAGTCCTTTTGGGCCTATAGGACCGGCCTGCGTAGCCTGACGGCAGCTGCTACTGCCGCAGCCAACAGAGGCTGTGCAAACATTTTGAATTGCTTGAGGACAGCTCGTAGACCGCTCAGAAATTGCCCTCCCCCTAACGCTTATCAGATTTTTGACCCCGATTCCACGCCTTCCCCTCCCCTCCACATCCCCTGACAACCGCACTATTTTCCTGCCGAGCAGCATATTGTGTTTAGTTACTTACGATATAAATGTACAGGCCTGACGAAAATTTATCGAGAGCAAAGTATGTTCGCCAATTTATCTTCTAACGTTTTTAATGCGAATTTTCGCAAATTTAAGACGATCCAATTAGTCGGAATTGCGAAGGACCGAGGAAAAGCAGCCAAAGGTCAAGCTGCCACAAGACCGAAGCAAACAGTCACTCCGTCTCCATTCGTTCCCGAGCGATCCCTCAGACGACCCTTTCGAACGTCACGCAAGTATATAGAACACACAAGCGTAACCCGATGAAACCTCGAAGTAAAAGCGCTTTCTTAAGTCGACATCGCCTCTACCTATGCTAGCTTATCAATTGCTTGATTCTTAATCTACTGGAGGGATATTTATTCACACGTGGTAGCAGTAGCATCTACCTGTGACAAATGCACTTTGAGCGTGCAAAATAAGCAAACATAGTATGCCCGGAGTAGTCCTCAAGGAAGGATTCACAACCTTGCATTTGCTAAACGGATGTCGATTTATGAACAGAAAGACTGCAATAGTTATTTCAGGTGTATTGATCGTCATCAGCTGGCCGTACCCAAGCTCAATTGGTGCACAACCAAGGGCCGAACAGCGACCGGTTGGTTAGACGTTCAACGATCTTATCCACGGCGTCAAGAATTCATTGTCTTGTCGGTTTCGATCAGGAATATAAATAATGGTAGATGGGCACTCATTGATCGGTTACGGGACTCACT